AGGGGAGGAGGAGGAGGAGGAGGAGGAGGAAAAAGAAAGGGGGCGAGGGTCTTTGGGTGGGTGGTCTCCTTCTCCCTCCCTTTTTTGGGGCAAAGCCCCCCTAAAGACCCCCCAGTGGCTCCTTCGTTGGGGTACCACTCCCGAGCATCTCCTCCCAATGGCTATTAGCGGCCGCCGCAAAGGTGGGCTTCATCCTCATCATCCTCTCCAGGGTGGGCTTCCTGAAGTGGAGGAGGGTCTTCTTCTTCTTCTACTACTACTACTACTACTACTATTACGTCTTCTTCTTCTTGCCATGGCTTCCTACTCTTCCTCTCCCTCTTCCTCCTCCTCCTCCTCCTCCTCTTCTTCCTCCCGCGCAGACAAGAGCAAGAGCCCAGCCAGGTCCATTAGGACATCCTTCCACACTCACACAGAGGAGGAAGAGGAGGAGGAAAAGGAGGAAGGCTCGCCTTGCAAAGGGGAGTGGGGGCTTCTCCCCTCCCACCGCCCCATGGGGCTCGTCTGGACGCTTTGGGGGGCTTTTTGGGTGCGGGAGACGAAGGGACGACCAGACGGACCCCAAAGGGGAGCCATGAGTGGTCCAGCCCCTTCCTCTAGTTTCACTCCAAGGGGGCATGAGCCCGCCAAAACTGCCCCCTTCTTTCCACCACCCCCTCCCCACCTCAGCCATGTTTCTCCCCTTCAGCCACACAGGCGAGGCGCCTCAGGTGCCAGGCTGCTTTTAGCCTTAAAGGTCCAGGGCAAGGAAGGGAATGAATTGAAGGGAGTTGGAGGTTGCGAAGACTCTGGAGCTTCCCCTCCTTAGAGAGTTTTTTGTTTGTTTGTTTTTTTTAATTAAATTATTAGTATTATTATTCTGTAGGAAGGAACCAGGCATCTCCAAAGTGCCAAAGGCGGCCCCACAAAGTGTAGGGGGCTGAAGAGAAATGTTGTGATGCCCTACCTGTGAATGTCCTCATGGCCTACTGCTGCAAAGGCACCCCACAAAATGGAGGAGGTTCAAGAAAAATGTAGGGCCCTACATTTTAATGTCCCAATATAATGCCCTCATGGCCCAAGGTAATGGTTTCATGTCCTACTACAGGGGTAGGCAACCTAAGGCCCGAGGGCCGGATGCGGCCCCCCAAGGCCTTTGGACCGGCCCCAGGCCGGTCCTGCCACCGCCGCCCGCCGCTCACCACCCACCATGATGATATTGATTATTGTTGCTCTTACTTGTTCTTGGGGTTTTCTTGGCAAAATCTCCACAGGGATTTTACCATCACTTTTCTGAGGCTGAGAGAGTGTGCATGCATATCTTATTTATTTATTTATTTATTTATTTATTTATTTTTGGTGCTTCGGCCCCCCCAATTGTCTGAGGGACAGCAACCCGGCTCCCGGCTCAAAAACGTTACCTACCCCTGTCCAACTACATGTTCTACTGCAAAGGCCCCACAAAATGTATGATGTTGAAGAAATGTGTAAGGCCCAACATATAGTGTCCTAATGTCCTAATGGCTGACTGCAAAGGCACCACAAAATTTAAGACATTGAAGAGAAATGTAATACCTTACATATAATGTCCTACATGTCCTACTGCAAAGGCCCCACAAAAAGTAGGATGTTGAAGAAACGTAATGCTCAACGTTTAGTGTCCCAATGTCCTAATGGCCGACAAGAAATATATAATACCCTACATTCCTAATGTCTCAAGTTGTGTCCTAACACCCTATATATCCTACTCCAAAGACACCACAAAGTGTAGGACATTGAAGAAAAATGTAATGTCCTACATGTAATGGCCTAATGTCCCAATGTAATGTCCTACTGCAAAGGCAGCCCAAAATGTAGGATGCTGAAGAAAAATGTTTTTAAATTTAATGTCCTAACGATGTCCCACTGTCCTAGAGTAATGTCCTAATGTCCTACTGCAAAGACACCACAAAATGTAGGACACTGAAGAAAAATATAATGCCCTACGTGTCCTACTACGAAAGCACCACAAAATGTAGGAGGTTCAAGAGAAATGTAATGTCCGACATTTAATGTCCAAAGTCCCAGTGGAAAGTCCCAATGTCCTGCCTATCTTACTGCAAAAACACCACAAAATGTAGGGCATTCAAGGAACATGTAGTGCCCTACGTTTAATGTTCTAATATCTCAATGTAATGTCCTACTTCAAAGACACCACAAAATGTAGGAGGTTCAAGACAAATGCAATGCTCTACATGTAAATGTCTTACGTGTTCTACTGGGGCTTCACCACAGAGTGGCTTTTATTCTACAGAAGTGAACCAGGGGAGCAGATGTCATAAGCTGCAAAGGCACCACAAAATGTAGGAAGTTCAAGAAAAATATATGACAATAGAACATTAAATTTAGGACTTTACATTTAATGGCAGGTTGTGGAGGGGCTGGGGCTTCACCTCCAAGCTGTTTTCTATTCTGCAGAAATAAACTAGAGGGACCAGGCATCCTAACCACAAAGGAGAACAAGGCATGTCAATAATGGAGGATATTCTCCAGAACAATGTGTAGTCTTATAGAACTCTGAGCAAGTTGTTGTTGTGTCTTCAAGTCGTTTCTGGCTTATGGCTATCCTAAGGCCATATAATGGGGGTTTCTTGGTAAGATTTGTTCAAAGGAGGTTTGCCATGGCCTTCCCTTGAGGCTGAGAGCATGTGACTTCCCCCGTGTCAGTCAGTGGGTGTCATGGCAGAGCGGGAACTGAACCCTGGTCTCCAGAGTCGTAGACTAACACTCAAACCACTACTCCACACTGGCTCTCTATATTATATATACTGTCTTTTATTATTATGTTGTTGTGAGCCTTCAAGGCATCTCTGACTTATGATGACCCTAAAGTGAACCTCTCATGGGGTTTTCTTGGCAAGTTTCTTCAGAGATTTGCCATGGTTGTTCTCTGAGGTTGAGAGTGTGTGACGTTATCACACGTGGGCCAGAAAGCGATAATAAAGTGGAAATG